TGTCTGCAGATGGTCTTCCTTCTGTGCTGTCTTATATCCAAATTTCCTTTTCTTATAAGGACACAGTCATACTGGATTAGGACCCACACAATGACCTAATTTTAACTTAATTGCCTCTTTACAGGCTTATCTCCAAATATATTCACATTCTGCAGTACTGATGGTTAGGACTTCAACATAGGAATTTGGAGGGGACACAATTCAGACCTAACAAAGCTAACTGGGAATGGTTCCTCAAAACTCCAATGATGCCATGTTTACCATACTTCATTCCTGCTTGTCCATTGTTTTACGTGTGCCAGTTTCCCAATCTTGGGAGCTCAAATCACTTGTGGAACACAGAATTTAAGATTGCAGAACAATTTAAATTTTAGGACTTCACCCTTATCTTGTCAAGTGCTTCTGGGCTTGTGTTCCTGAACATTCTTAAGGCTGTCATCTTCAGAAGGCCTGTGTTTACTTTAGATAAGGGTAATTTAGGCTGATTTTTAGAGTGGAGACAACTCACTGTCAAGAGATGATTTACAAAGCCAGAGAACTGGAAAGTGATAGAGCCAGGGCCAGACTGCACTAGTGTAAATATTCTTATGCAGTCAACATGTGCTAAGTCTTCAACTGAAAAAGCACAGAAAATAAGTCATATTAATTATAAAATGATGCTGGATGATTCCTCAGCAGCTGTGGGAAGTTTCCTGAGGACATGATTTTGAATCTTTACTATATCCCGTTTTACCCATTAGTCTGCAATTATATGGCCATTGTTACACTACTATTTAAAACATGACACTAATCAACAGGTTAAAATTAATAAAACGTCTGAAACCAGATAATTCATCTAAAAATTAATAAACAGATGTTTATAAAAAGTTTGAAAGCTTGGAAAGGTTCTAAAATGTTATTAAATGTGATATTTGTTTTCCATTAATTGAGTCTATATCTTCATTTACTAACTAATAAACAGCTAAGGGGTCATTTTCTTTGCCACTCTTTCTCCTATTTGTTTAAATCATACCAAAGCAAGACAACCTTGAAATTTGATTTATGCGAAGATATATCCATTCATCTATGAATGTGACTCTTGGCCTGTTTCTACAGTTTGGCTATTGTAAATAATATTGCAATAAACATAGGGGTACATGTATCCCTTTGAATTAGTGTTTTTGTACTTTGGAGGTAAATACTGAGTAGTGCAGTATCTGGACCATAGCGTAGTTCTATTTTTTATTTTTTTTGAAGAGCCTCCATACTGTTTTCTACAATGGCTACACCAGCTTGCATTCCTACCAACAGTGCATATGGGTTCCCTTTTCTCCATATCCTCGCCAACAGTGATTGTTTCTTGTGTTTTTTATTTTAGCCATTCTGACAGGTGTGAGGTGATATCTCATTGTGTTTTGATTTGCACTTGTCTGATTATGAGTGCTGCTGAGTATCTTTTCATGTGTCCGCTGTCCATCTGTCTGCCTTATTTGGAGAAATGTCTGTTCATGACCTCTGCTCATTTTTTACTTATTTATGCATATAAGAGAGAGACAGCACAAGTGGGGGAGAGGCAGAGAGAGGGAGAGACAGAGAATACCAAGCAAGCTCCGCACTTTTAGGGCAGAGCCCAACACACGGCTCAAACTCACGAAACCATGAGATCATGACCTGAGCCAAAACCAGGAGTCAAGAGTCGGACGCTTAGCTGACTGATCCACCCAGGCACTCCTGCCCATTTTTTAATTGGGTTATTTGTTTTGGGGGTATTGAGTTATATCAGTTCTTGATATATTTTGGATATTAACCCCTTATCAGGGGTCATTTGTAAATATCTTCTGCCATTCAACAGGTTGACCTTTAGTTTAGTTTTCAATTTATATACACACCTATACAAACTCCTGAGATTATTTTCCTAGGGAATCCATTGAACATATAAATCAATTTGAGAAAACTTAACATCTTTCCAATATTGAATCTTCCAAACATAAACGTGGTTTATTCTTCCTTTTATTTATATCTCTATAATTTCTCTCAATTTTTATACTTTTCTATTTAGAGGTCTTGCATAGATTTTATTTCTAGGAGTTTTATTTTTCTTGCCAATGCAAATGATATATAATTACAAAATTCATTTTCCAAATTGTTTCTTGGCTAAATATATGTAAATAACACAAATTTTTAGATTGACCTTATATCCAGTTGGTTTGCTAAGTCATATTTAATTTTAATAGTTTAGCTATTTTATTATAAATGTTTGCAATATTATTTGCAAAGAGTGAGAGCCTTTTTTTCCCTCCAGTCCTACATACTTTATTTCTTATCTTGCAGCAATAAGGAACTCTAGAACAATGAAAAACCCAAGCGGTGACAATGGGCATCCTTATATATTTGTGATCTATTAGTATTTCATCATCAGGTATGCCTCTGCAGGTTTTTGTGTGTTTGCCTTGTTTTGTTTTGTTTTAGATTCATAATTGAATTAAGTAAGGTTTTTTATACTCCTGCTACGTTAAGTTGATAGTGACAATTGTTGGCTTGGTTTTGGTTTTTAATCATGAAACTGTATTGGTTTTTGCTTTATCAAATGCTTTTTTTATGAATCTCCTGACATTACTTTCCTCATGTTGGTACAAGCTGAAAGTTTTTTTCCCTTGTTCTGTTAATGTAGTGAATTACATTAATTGACTCCCAGTATTAACTCAATCTCACCTTCATGAATTAAACCCATTTTGGTGATAACATATACTTTATCTTATGTATCATTGCACTTAGTGTGCTTATCTTTTGTTTAGGATTTTTCAACTGTGTTCATGAGATACTTTAGGCCATAGTTTTTCTTTCTTGTAATACTCTTGTGAGATTTTTACGTAAGGTAATGTGGTCTCAAAACAAAAACTTGTGCATTTTTTCCTGTCATTTGAAAATTCATGGATATATTAATAGTATTTCTTTTTTAAACATTTTGAAGAATTCACTAATGAAACCATCTGGGTCTGTAGTTAATTTGAAAAACGTTTTAAATTATGAATTCAATTTATTCAATAGATAAGGGCTGCAGAGATTTTTTTTCTTCCTTCCTAGTTTGCCCTTAAACTTCAAAACTTATTCATTCCAAGATAGAATGTCCAGAGTTCTTTGTCTTTTGGAACTCTTTCTGAATCTTTAGCTACCATGGTAGCAAAAGCAAAAGAGCAGAAACACTAATATAAAAAAGAAGCTGGTGCATAATCACATAAACTACTTTCACAATTCAATAATAGTTAGAGATGATCAAATGGATATTTCATTCTAATCAAGTTAAAAACAAAGAAATTGAAAACTTTCACATGGATTTTCTTAATTTTATATTACATTCCATAACATTATGTTTTACTATTTTTGTTAAATACAGAGTTATGAATGTGTTAGAAAAAATGCCTTTTTTTCAAACTTGTTAAACAGATAAAAGGTAAGAAGCTACTTAGGTAGCTTAGGTAAGAAATCTGGTACAGTTAATAAATTGACAGATCTTAATCAGATGTGAGTGGTTTAGGTTTACATGTTTGTATTCAATTTTCAAGTTTATACCTTAAACCAAGTATACATTTATATGTATAAATAGTTAAAATATGACATACATAAATACACATATTTTAATATCTCATTAAAAGTTTACATTTTAAAAAATATACTCTTTTACTTTATATTCTAGCAGTGAACATATTTTGGGTCACATAAAACTTAGATAAGATTACTAGAATTAGGGGCGCCTGGGTGGCGCAGTCGGTTAAGCGTCCGACTTCAGCCAGGTCACCATCTCGCGGTCAGTGAGTTCGAGCCCCGCGTCAGGCTCTGGGCTGATGGCTCGGAGCCTGGAGCCTGTTTCCGATTCTGTGTCTCCCTCTCTCTCTGCCCCTCCCCCGTTCATGCTCTGTCTCTCTCTGTCCCAAAAATAAATAAAAACGTTGAAAAAAAAATTAAAAAAAAAAAAAAGATTACTAGAATTAAAATGTTGCTAGTGCTATTTCTTTGGTATGACGTACAAATTTATTTAATACTAAGTATTCAGCAGTGATCTTAAAATCATTTAAAATACTTTCACCTTTGATTGTATAGTGTTTCCTAACATTTGTCAATTCTAGGATAAAAAAAGTTACCTTCTTAATAACAAAACTCGGTGTTTGAAACTAATTCTAATACTTTACATCAAAGCAAGGACTAAATACATGTTCAATTCTTAATACAGAAAAACATTAAATAAAACCTTACATTTTAATTTACATTTTTCCTAAAATGCCTATAAAAAACCAAAAAACAAAAAACAGCCAAACACTAAATATAGCACCCATTATATTATTAATGTCAACACTACATGACATCATTATGGATGACATAAAATGTTGCCTAGTTGCTTTCTAGTACTAAAACAAATCAGGCTTGCTGGAAATTCAGAGACCACAGAAATGTAAGTGTGAATGTCTGTTTAAATATTTGATAACACTACTAAATATCTAAGTAAATATGGTAAAATTATAGTGTATAACAATATATTTCAAAATGTTTTCTAGTTCTTACAAAGCCAAAAATGTTTTTATAAACACATGGTATTTTTCTACAATATCAATAATGAATAGATTAGAGGAAGATTAATAGTTTAGTAAAAGCAGTTTAACTCAGAGCTTAATTTAACACAAAACAATTCAATGATTTAACCTTGATCAATATTCAATATGTAACCTAGAATTATTAATTGGTAATTTAAATGTGTTGAGATTTAAACTTCATTACATCAACTTAATAGTTAAGTTACTGAATTGTCTTCATATTTGCCTGTTCTTCTCCTGCAGTCGGCCTGACTGAGCCTTGTTTAGATCCCTGCTATATTACTTGTATAAGTCAACACAACAGCCAATTCCATATGAACAAATTCTCAACAAATTTAGAACAGCTTTTGTTGTAAATATCACTAGTCCACCTTTGGCTGAACCCAGAACACTTGGAGTGTATATATTTTTGCTCAGATAAAACACTAAGAAACAATGGTTGTCTCTCAATCAAAGTGGATAAATAGAGGTAAGATATTGCGATTGTTTTCCTCTTTTTTCTCTTGCACTCAAGATCAAAATAAACTCAAACATGAGCCTCATGAGGTGGAAAAAAATCTTCAGAGAGACAATAAGGCATCCAGGGATGAGAACAAGGCTCTTAGAAAAGATAATAAGTCCCTTTGGAGAGAAAATAAAGCTCTTCATCAAGAAAACAAAGCCTTCCGAATGGACAACCATTTGATCTGGGAGGTGAATCAATCCCTGAGAGAGCAAAACCAGGTCCTATGGAAGTTTAAAAATGTGATCTTGGAGAGCCAAAGACCACCAGAGGAAAAAATCAATGCTTTGAACACAGAAAGAAAGTCTCATTGGCAACAGAATCGAGCCCTGGAGGCTCAGATCAAGGCTGTCAGAGAACAGGAGAAAGCCTTCCAGAATGAGGCGAAAGCTCTTCAGGAAGAAATACAGTCTCTCCATGAGGAGATCAAGGCCCTGAAACACCAGGAGAGAGCACTCAAGATGGAGGAACAAGACTTGATGAAAGAAGGAAAAGCACTAGAGATGGAAGAACGGGCTCTGTGGAAGGAGGAGCAGGCCCTTCGTGAGGAGAACAAGGCTCTTAGAGAAGAAAACAGTGCACTTCAAGAGGAGGAAAAAGCCCTTCGGGAAGAGGCAAAGGTCCTTGAGGAGTGGAATAAGATTCTTCTGGGAGAAGATAAGAAACACACTTACGGGGAAAATGCACAATAAAACAAAGCAGGAGAATTGTGACTTGAAGATGTAACCAACAAACCATGAAGACCATTGACATTCCAGTAAAAATAAAACTTTTGAAGGTGAAATACTATTGTTAGGATTGAAGTCAAATCTGGAAATTTACAGTACTTGGTATCTGGTCCTGGAAACTAAATAAAGTTCTGAGAATTTAAAAAAATAAAGGAAATGATTCTTTTAGGTTTAAATTTTACATTACTATTAGAGGTATATATTTTTCTACAGTGCAAAGATGTATTGTTCAAAACGTGACACTGAATGGGCAAAGGGTTTTCCCTTTAAGTTCAAAAACATTGGATGAATATTATAAGAAATTAACAGAATGGGAAATATTTGTCTCAAAACTCATTCTTAGAATTATGACTATATGAAATATAAAGTTTTGCATACTTCATTCGTATGTATTGTAGAAGAATATCCTGCCTCTTTATGCTTATTTCAGTAATCTAGTTGGGGAGCTAATCAAATAACAAGAATTTTAAAAATAGGTGATAGTACAAGAATTGAGTGTTCACTGCCCTCCCCACTTTCTCTTTATTTCTCCTTTCAGCTATTGTCTTTCTCCTTTTGCTTTCGGGGAGGGAGGCTGTTCTCCATCTAATCAATGTATTAAAGAAAGAAAAGAAGGAGAGAATAGAGTCCAAACTTACAACAAGCATTTTGGAATTTGGAATATAAACGTGTAGAGTTCATAATACAAGTTGGGGGAGAAAGAAATGGAGTTTTCAGAAGTGTTAATGTTGATAATTGATCTAACTGAATGCTCTTCAAAACAAACAACTGAGTCGCATGAACTCATGGATTAAAGTTACATATGTAATGGCAGAACATTAGATTACAAACCATGTAGAGGGTTGGTGCCATACCTTGCTTTTCATCATTGCAAATTTTGAGCACTTAATAAATCAGGGTAAATGTTTAATGGGTTTTATTGAATATAACTGAAGTTATATCTCATTCTGATTCTTTTCTGATTGGGGAATGGAAGAGTAAGAAAACTATAGGAAGATAATACTTTATTTGCTGCCACATCTGCAAAAGCCCAACATACATTTGTTGAATATCTATAATTAGCACTCTATTAAGCAATACACTTACATTTAAGTATAAAAAGTGAAAAAAGACATGTCTCCTGACTTTAACAATTCCACTGAGTATAAAAGAAGAAAAACATTATTACACTATTCCTTAAGAAAGTCTATCTGGCCTCGGGCTCTGTGCTGACAGCACAGACTGTTTGGGATTCTCTCTCCTCTCTCTGCCCCTCCCCTGCTCGCACTTACTCACTCTCTGTCTCTCAAAATAATAAACATTTTTTTTAAAGTCTATCTGCCTGGCAACAGTTTTCAGACCACTGTTTCTAGGAACTTATAGCCACTATTTCAATAAAATAATCAGCCTTGGAGAAGATTAAAAAGCAAAGAATGTAGATGTATGCTTGACTGATCTGCAGTCCAATCGGGACAGGGAAGAAACACAAATTCATCATTGTTTCTACCTCAAAAGATGTGGAAGAAGCCTGCAGGCAGGAGAATGGCCAAATTAATGTTCTATGAATATGTGACTCTAATGCCTACATATTAATTTTGATATTTTTTTGTTCAGAAAAGAGTCCTTGCTCTGCAAATTCCCTGCTGTAGAATTTAGGACAAATAAACTATTTTATACTTTGGTGATGAGGTCAGGAGAGCAGTGTCTATGGAGTGGGTGTAGTTATCAATGACTTCCCTTAGTGAGAACGTTGCCATTATTATATCATATTTAAATTAGTAGCAACTCAGGTTAAACTGTAAGGCTTAGTACATTTGGATCAGAATTTCAATCTCTCCTCTTAAATTTAAATGCTAACCTGAAACTGGCACTATTACAAAGAAATCTTGGTTAATGTTTGTAGCCCACTCTATAAGACAAAAATTACGTAAGTAGAGAATGGATTAAAACAATTTATATTGATATCAACACTGCAGACAAATCAAAAGTTTCTACTAAAATGTCCAGTTACCATATTTATGAAATACTATATTGGAAAATGTATTTTCCCATATAAGTGGGATACATTTATATGTACATTAAAAATTTTTCATATTTATTGTTTGATATAAATTTCATGGAAATTGTGTGTTGAAGGGAGAAAATATTTGTGGATGAAAAATGGGGGCATTTGATGCTCACAATGCAGGAACTTTAGTGTATATGAACTTTGTTTCTTTGTTGTTCATTTCTAGATTTTTCCTCATAGTTTCCAAAAAGTATGGTCACCTGAATACCTAATGTTCCCAATGGGATTGTTCCTCCTCCAGATCAGCAGTCATTAACTGCAGGACAGAACAGCGGCATTGATGCTCCAAATATCTTCTTAGAGATGATGGATTCCTTAGCTTTCCCACGGCACCTTCAGTCTAAACCCATATATATACTAATCTTCATATATTTAAGGCCACAAGTTCCAGACTCTGAGGTCCATCCGTCTTCACTTTGATTTATAATTCATGATGCCCTATATGACTTGTAATATATCCCAATTCAACATTATTCCTCTCCTTCCTAAACATATCTTGCCCTTTTTCTGAATGTTCCTTTGGTCCTCTTAACCTAGACAGACTTCAGTGTTCAGTTCTCTTAGTATGCCTTGAAGGTGAAGGCATTTAGGCACCAGCAAAGATGGCACTAGTGTAGGCTTCCTCATTTCCCCATTTGTAAAAATTTTATCCTGTTTCCTCCTACAAAAGACTTTGTTTCAATGAAGCACATATGAGATACCACTTCAATCTTACGTGATATTTCATATTCAGACTTCCTGTTTGCTAATTCAGACATTAAAACCTTTAGAATCTGGCTCACAATATTTCTCTTCACCCCTCCTGCTTTTACCTCTTCTGTATGACTTCAAACTGCACACAGAGGATCAGTCCAGAAATGTTCTACTCAGCATCTTGGATCTTGTTTCCAAAAACCATTGCCTCCATATCACCTCAGTCTCCATCCCCAATGTTATATCTCAAAACCTTTATGATTAGCAAGTACCCTGACTCTGACCTAATTCTCTGCCTAGTGTAGAGTAATAATTGCCTGTAGGGAATACTAATCTCCAGTTCACTGTAATTCCTATCCCTAGTTCACATAAATAATTTTATCAGTCCCTGGAGGTCTTTTCATTGGCAGAAGATCTACAAGAATAAGCCAAATCTTCCAGGCCGATAGCACAGTGCCTGCTTGGGATTCTCTCTCTCTCTCTCTCTCTCTCTCTCTCTCTCTCCTCTCTCTCTCTCTGCCCTTCCCCTCCCCCCCTCTTTCTCTCTCAAAATAAATAAATAAAAATTAAATTTTTTTATTTTTATTTTTTAATTTTTTTTAACGTTTATTTATTTTTGAGACAGAGAGAAACAGAGCATGAACGGGGGAGGGGCAGAGAGAGAGGGAGACACAGAATCGGAAGCAGGCTCCAGGCTCTGAGCCATCAGCCCAGAGCCCGACACGGGGCTCGAACTCACGGATCGCGAGATCGTGACCTGAGCTGAAGTCGGACGCTTAACCAACTGCGCCACCCAGGTGCCCCCAAAATTAAAAATTTTTAATGAAAAAAAGAATAAGCAAAAGCTATTGCTATATTATTTGAAAACAGTGAGACAAGATATTCAAAGACTGAGGGGTACTGAAATGTGCTCACAGAGACTCTCCATATTGGCTCAAAGAGAGGACTGTACACATCTTTTCCAACTCGGCATTCGTGATGTTACATTGGTATCTTCAACTCTGCATCCTCCAAATCAATGCTTTATTTTTTATTCATTTATTTTTTGGGAGGGTGGTAAAGCTGGTTAAACATTTACCAACCCAAAGTCAAAGTACTTGAAAACTGATTAAAGAAAACAATGAAATCTATATATTTTATAATCCTTGAATTTGTCTATTTTAAATAGAGGGGTGCTTGGATGGCTCAGTTGGTTGAGTGACTGACTCTTGATTTCAGCTCAGGTCATGATGTCAAAGGTCATTGGTGAACCCTGCATTGTTCTCTGTGCTAAGAGAGCAGAGCCTGCTTGGGATTCTCTCTCTCTCTCTCTCTCTCTCTCTCTGCCCTTCCCCTGCTCACTCTCCCTATCTCTCTCTCAAAATAAATAAGCTTTAAAAATAAATTAATAAAGAATACTGTCCAATTAATTTCAGATATTGGTAGCATCAGTTATTTATGCTGATGACATTAATGATCTATAATTTGCTGACCATGATTCATATTGTAAGCAGGAAAAATAAATGGATAATTGAAACAATGAAGCAAATCGTTTTCTTCTAAAACACCATTATCATTATGTTATTTTTATCAATGTATATATTTTAATATTTACATAACCACTTAAGAATCATGTACTAATAGGGGCTCCTGGGTGGCTAGGTCGGTTAAACATCTGACTTCACCTCAGGTCATGATCTCACTCTTCGTGGTGGTTCAAGCCCCACATCGGTATCTATGCTGACAGCTCAGAGTCTGGAGCGTGCTTTGGATTCAGTGTCTCCCTCTCTCTCTGCCCCTCCCCTGCTCATGCTCTGTCTCTCTTTCTCAAAAATAAATAAACATAAAAAAAAATTTAAAGAATCATATACTAACATTTTACTGTTCTTAAAAATATAATTAGATAATTTTATAATGGGAATAAAGAGCATAAAGTAACTGGAAAGCTGCACAGATCTGAGAAGGAATTGAGAATAGATCACTAGCTATGTTATGTTCAGGGTACTATACCTTATGTTCAGGGACTGTAATAGACCAGACTGCAATCCCAAGAAAATGGCTCCCTGCGGGTCTCCATAGGAAATCATTGTATAGTTTAAGGATGCTAGGAAAATATTAGAGCTATCTGAAATTACAGATTTTGCACTGAAGGGGTTGTGATAAATTCACAGTAAAAAGTGAAAAAGACCTACAATTAGATCAACAAAGGAGAACATATTTATGGCTATTTATTTTGCTAAATAAAAACAGAATAAAACAATCACGATTCACATATTTTT